TGGTGCTCACTTAACGTCCATTGCAGAGAAACTAAAGGGGGATCCCTGGAGAAACACAGGGCTCAGCCTATTCCTAGGGGAGCTGGGCCCAGAATTCTCTGCTCCCCAAGTTCTTGCAAGAGCCTGGTGCTGGGTGCCTGGTGGACCCCACTTTTCCACGGTTGGTCACCAGAACTGAGCACACAGAACTGAGCTCTCAGCACTCAGCCACTGCTGAGACAGAAGAGGGCCTGGGAAGAAGGCCGCGGAGGTCTCACAAGCATAGAATGTTCTCAAGGAAAAAGGGAGGGGCATTCAGCTGATGAGGCCCGAGAGAAACTTGTGAAGCCGGGGAGGGATCTGCATCATTCCTCCCCACCACCACTGAGTCAGGCGCTGGAGAGCAGCCCTCAGCTGACCGTGTGCTTGGCCACTGGACCTGGGGATGGCTGAGCAGAAAGAGGGAAGCCAGTTGGTGTGACAAGGCCCTGTGAGTTTCTTGTGGAAACTGAACTTGAGCTAACTTCCTTGCACCCCAAAGAAAAGAGGGTGGTCTCTGGATAAAGAGCCCAGGACCAAGGATCCATGGGTGGACATCCTTATAGGAGGCTATGGGAGGGAGAAAGGAGATTGCCAAGCACAGCCCCCACAGACTCCTCCTGAGAACCAATACATGGCCCAGGAGAGTTGGCAAAGAGGGAGCCAAGGGAAGGACAAGTGAGTACGAACCCAGCAGCAACCAGTGGAAGGTCCACTGGGACCTCACCTGGACGCTGGAGGAGCGGGTGCAGGCCACCCGCCCTGCAGGGCAGACAGTGAGTGTCAGAGGGTGGCCTGGACTTCTCCTCCCACACCCTACCCAGTGCTGGGAGTCCAGCCGCCCTCAGGTTAGGAACAGACAAGCTCTGAATAGCATCTGAGATTAAAGTCTGCAGCAAACGGACCCAGACTCAGGACCCAGGATCAAGTGTCTCAATAACTAAAAATGACCAAGAAGGGAGAGAATCACCCGAGCTCTCATCACGGGAGCCGCTACCTCGTGGGAAGGGACGGAATCACCCGAGCTCTCATCACGGGAGCCGCTACCTCCTGGAAAGGGACAGAATCACCCGAGATCTCATCACAGGAGCTACTACCTCCTGGGAAGGGACAGAATCACCCGAGCTCTCATCACGGGAGCCGCTGCCTCGTGGGAAGGGACAGAATCACCCGAGCTCTCATCACGGGATCCGCTACCTCGTGGGAAAGGACAGAATCACCCAAGCTCTCATCACGGGAGCCGCTACCTCCTGGGAAGGGACAGAATCACCCGAGCTCTCATCACGGGATCCGCTGCCTCGTGGGAAGGGACAGAATCACCCGAGCTCTCATCACGGGAGCCGCTACCTC